TCATTGCTGCCTCACCCATTGCATGGAATTCAATCACCTCTCTGATGTTTCATAGAATTCTTCTGAGGTGTTGTTGTTGTTTTTCTGCTAATGTGAAGTGATTCCTGTAACTGGTATGATACCTCAAATTGATCTATCATGTTATGATAAAAACACCTATAGTAACATAAGGCTATGACACACAGTTAAAAGTATACAATAGTACAATTGAGCCCACTATGTTTCCAAACATCCTGTTATGTGCCCACTTTTGCCCTGAAATTTGCCCTAGTATTGGTAATGTTTTCCTTAAGAAATGGTTTGATAATATCTTGCAACAGATGGCAAAAGAGTTTGTTTACCATACACCTCAAACTGTTACAACACATGATATGACGCATTTTAGTTTCTTATCATAGAAAGCAAAAGTATATGGGGCATCTTTTATAAGGAAATAAATGTGAACCCCCTCAAATTGGCTTAAAATCTCAATCTTATATTGGCACTTATATTTAGGGAAAGAAAACAGTTTATATAGATGAAAGAAAGTTTCTTGTAAAGGCCCTCTGTTTGTAGATTAGCTGAATTGCCTTGATCCCTTTCACTGCCCTTTAACAAAAGAACAAAAAACAATTGAATCAGCACTAGGTGAAGGTGACCGTAATTAATGCATGATTTGATAATAAGATTTAGTAAATAATCTATGTTATATGCTTTTATAAAATCCTTTCATTTATGATCTTTTAATTCTGTATTCTTAATATCTTAATCAATATTAGTTTGTGTTTAGTAAACGTTGATTTTGAGTATAAGTAAACCACTTGTCACTATGTAACTGCATGCGCTGCCAACCGTGGAGTTTCTGGCTTCAGCCAGGTGATTGCAGGTTTCAATGAGTAATGGTTTGCTAAGAATGTTTTCTTTGAAATAGAAAAATATTTTTTAGGATTGCTTCTTGCATTTTCATAACCATGATGTAATGAAAAATGAAACAATTGGATGTTGTGCAAAAACTTGTGATGATTTATGTATAAATAAAGAAGGCAACTTTTCGGAGTTGTCCATTATGAGCATCAAGTCATAGTGGTCCGTGTCTTATCCCTTGCTATCATCTCGCCGATCCACACATCCTTTGCAAGCTCTCAGTCAGCTGGGGCTGGTCTCCAGCAGTAGTGAGAGGTTGCTTTCAAGAACTGATGAAATATGTACACAATATCAGTAACATTTTGTTGGGGGTCTAAGATACACAGGGATATAGATTTAGATATGAAGACAACGTAAGGTTTTTTCTATTGTGTTCTTGATCCAGGTGATCATCCCCACTTCATCCCTGCCTAAATGTTCTTTTTCTCCATTTCCACTTTTCTAAAACTTACTTTCCTTCCAAAATTATCAGTTTCCATCTAACAGTCTCTACTACCAACTCTGGATATAATCAACTATTGCTAAAATCGGTTTCATTTATACACTATCAGTCTCCCCAGCCACACTACCTCTCTGCTCTTCAGTAGCTAATCTTGCTACAGTTTATGCACGTGTATATGAACAAATTTCCAATTCATCTGGTTAAACATGTAGTCATACTGTATGGTAAATTGGTAAAAATCATCCACAGATTAGCTCCAAAATACAGAAAAGAAATGGTTAGAGATACAGATGAGGCAACTGATCATAGTTGAAAGCTCTGAAAGTTCAAGATCTTCACACCTATTACTGCTTGCTATTTTCCATAACACAAAGTTTGTCTCTCCTACGAATAACAGAGACCTTCTTAAGGGCAGATCCCAAGGTTTTTCTTCTTCATATACCTGACCATCACAGAGCAGAAGAATCTAACTTACTGTGCCTATTTCTTCATTAGGCAGAATTACCTTCCAAAGAAACTTATCCTAGTCCTGGTGCAGTAGCCTAGTGGCTCACCTTGCATGTGCAGGGATCCCATATGGGTGCTGGTTCATGTCCCGGCTGCTCTACTTCCCTACCAGCTCCCTTCTTATGGCCTGGGCAAACAGTAAAGGACAGTCCAAAGACTTGGGATCCTGCACCCATGTGGGAGACCTGGAAGAAGCTCCTGGCTCTTACCTTCAAATCAGTTCAGCTCCAGCCCTTGTGGCCACTTGGGGAATGAACCAGCGGATGGAAGATGGAAGATCTTTCTCTCTGTCTCTCCTTCTCTTTGTGAATCTTTCCAATAAAAATGAGTACATTTAAAAAATACTCCATCCATTCATTACAAATTACTGGGCATATACTTTCCTAGTATGAGCTGTCTTGATAATTGTAAGGTATCAAAAACAAATCTATCCTCTATCAATAAAAATTTGACCACACCCTTAACAATCCATGACAAAAAGGGCAGGAGAGGACAAAAAAAAAAAATAGCAGAAAAGCAGCAACACTTCAGTTTTAAAGAAAGGTAGTATATACCTAAGAAATCCAAGTTTGATGTTTGAAAGAGGTCAAGGACTTTAAAGGCTACCCTCCCCCTCCATTGTGCAGATGGGGAAACTAAAGTCCAGACAGGGGAAGTGACTTGCCTTAAGTTGCCTTCAACTCACTAACGACACCAAATTAAAACACAAACCTGCTGATTCACAGTTAGTTAAGAATTTTCTATACCACAGCCTTCCGTCCTAATCCATAATATTAACTACTTAAAGAGAAATGAGTTATTTTATTATTAATACTTCACATGTGAGAGCAAAGGGTAAAGCAGAGAGGGTAAGGAAAATGTAGGCAGCAAATCGGTAAGATGTTATGCATGAAGATTTTTAAGTAAACACTACACTTCCACATTTGCTATTAATAGTATCAATTTCATATATTTTGACATACAGGGACTGTAACATAAATAAACATTTAAAAAAATACTAGAAAGGAAAAACGTACCTCTAAAGCAAGAAAATATAAATAATGCACAATGTAATACACAAAAATCACTAGGATTTATTTGGAAGCAGTATCACAAGGTAAAATCACAGGGAGTGCTAACAGTTATCGAACACCTGAGGTCATGTGGATGTTTTCAACTGTAGACACAAATACAAATAAGCATGCTATCTGTCTCAGATGCATGAGTTTTGGAGCTGGAAACACAGCTTGAATCCTTCCTCTACCACTTCTCTGATACTCTTTCTCTTTATTCGTAAAAAACGGAACCCTCATTAGAGAAATCAAATGACAACTATATACGATCATTTATTTAAGGCCTAAATGCAGTCCCTGGATGAAACAAGAATTACATCAAGTTTCCTCCCACAACCCCTATGGGCCAAATTAAACTAAAAACTAGACTGACTTACAAGCCTCCTTCCTGTCCATTTAAGACTCTGTTTTGATGATAAGGAAAATCCTATTAGTTTGCTTCAGAATAATTACTTGATTACAAAAATTTATTTTCCTTATCTTTCCTTCAAACTGGGAAAACAAAAGGATGAATTTGTAAGTGTTGAAGTCTATCAGTTGTATATAAATTCAGCACCTTCCTTCTGACTTACTGAACTGAAACCCTAAGCCTACTTACAGGTCATGTTGAAGAGAGGAACTACAGAAACAACGTGTGGGAAGGAGGAAGAGTAAGAGGCCAAAGAAACTATTCAAATGACTCAATTCTAGGAGTGATTCAATGTCTTCTTCTTAAAGTTAAATTCACGTATTAATCTCTAAGCAAAACAAATGTTTAAAAGATTCAGAATCTCCATGATCCAGGTGCTTTCGTAACTTGATCCCACAGATTAAGCAAATGTCATCTTTCTTTGGGCATGTAGAGTGTCAGTTTCTGCCAGTAAGAATCCAAGCATTGCAAGATGGGAGCATGCCTACCAAACTGGCTCATACATTTAGTAGTCACTCAGTTTTTTCTACTCCAAGTGCAGACTTGCCTAGCCGCATAGTCCCTCACTACTAGTTCATTTCTTTGAATAGTGTTTTTCCCCTCCTAATCATAAAAAAGCTCTTTCTGGGGAAAAAAAAAAAATGGAAAAAATTTGAAAGTACAAGCATTCTTTAACCACCCATGGTCTTTTTAACTGAGGATTAAAACATTACAAGGAGCCATAGCATCATCTTTTCTATGGACTTGGTCATACTTGCATTGCAATCGTGCCAAATATTTAAATTTGGAGGGAGTGCTTGCCACTAAAGAGTAACTGCCAGACCTTACCTGAGAATCTCCATTCCAGCTTTCTTGAGTCTAAACTTATAATACATTTTTCCTTATTTAACTAAATGGTTTCTTCTCAATCACAGTTCTGAGACTCCCTTATTCTGTTGCTAACAACTTTCTCTTCCTTAAAATTATTGCTATTCTAGATTGCTCTAAGCAGTGTATGGTGTATGAGTATTCTTTTCTTTCATAATTGAATTATCTTTTATAACCTCCTGACAATCTCTTAAAATTTTGGGGGGTTTTTTGTCAAGTATGAATGCCTAGCACAGAGCACAGTGTCTGGCAACAAGCAGATGCCCAACTAATGTTTACTAACTCTGTCCATCTTCACCTGCCACTTACTACCTGTGTGAACACTGGTTAAAACTCTCTGAATCTCAGCTCCCAAACTACAAAATAAAATCAAAAGCAGCTGAAAACAACGCCTGCCACAGAGCAGCTCCCTGTAACATCCGCATTATTTTCAACATAATATAGAACTTAAAAGATGTTTCTTAGTCTATATGGTGTACTATGGAATCCATCTCTTATAAACAATTTGTTTTCACAACATTCTTATAACTATTAAAAACACTTTTTGCCCTTTTCCTTTTACTGCTGATTTATCATCAATTATTCCAATTCTCTCCCACACCACCATAGGGCACCATCATCTACGGACTAAGCTGCAAGAACAGGCTTAGCTGATTTCCACACCCTTAGATCTTCATTCCAATCTTCCTATCTCCTTTAAAATCCTTCCACTGTCATTCCTATCTATTGTGGCTTGTACCACATTCAAACTACAAGGACTCCTGGCTCCTTAATAACCCACCACCCAAAATCCTAGTTCAAATGATGGCTCTAAACTCACCTCTTTTAAGAAACCTTCCCTGATCAACTCCACACCACTGAGTTTACTCCTCTGCTCCAGGCGCGCCTCAGCACTCAGGTATTCCGTTACACTAAAGGTAAAATGTTATCACAATGAATAGTGTTACAAAGAAATAACTTCCACAAAATTATTCCTACACCCCAAACAATGCTCCATGAATACAATGCCTCTTTTCTTTGTAATTAACAAGGACATATCCTAAACAGCAAATGTTCTCTCTGGTTTCTGTCCTTGGCTTTTCAGAATCTTATCATCAGATGGAAAGCACTTCTCCCATTTCAATCCTTAGGAATCAGGGTACTGGGTCACCTTCTTTCTTCTTAACATACCCCACAAATAAAACTCTTTCAATCTTCAAACAGAAAGTCAATACCATGGCTTTCTCCCTACCCCTATCCCAGCGAAAAGAACTTTAAACCTACTTAGCACCAAACTTTCCCCTCTGCTGAAGAATTACCCAACAAGCTTAACACCTTGCCAAACTCATTATATTAAAAAAGTTGCTTCTATACAATAAAAGAATTACAGCTATATCATTCTCACCGCTGTTACCATAAGAGATCTTGCATCACTTGCATGCTGTATTACACTCAACAGCGGAGTTGAGAAACTCCCCCATAGGGCAGATTTTCTGGACAGTATATTCTGACGTCTAACACACTCTACATACTTTAACATAAAGGAGGAGGCGGGTTCCTCATTGCCAAGCAATCAAGAGCAAACAATACTAGGGCCATCCCCTCCAGGAAGGAGCCTGTGCGCCGCCAAGGCCAAGAGCAATCAGATAGACTGTCCAAAGGGGTGGGAAGACCTGCAAGAGTTCACAAATCTGAACCATGAATGAGTCTGAGTCCTTCCCACACAGCACACTTGCGTTTCACGATTGACTCTCCCGACCCTGCAGGAACGGACAATTGCTCTTGCTCAACGACTCATAAAAGATTCACAGCCTTTAGCTACCCACACATCAATCTACCTCGTCTGCTCCTTGCACTCATATACTTTCTCCTAAGAAGCCACACAGCACACCTCCAGTCCTAAAGCCTGCATCCACGCCTCACCCCTCAAACCTCCCCTCGGTCACCTTTCGGTTTCAGGGCAAGTCTCTTACTCTGGATCCACGCGTCCCCCATATGTTCAGAGACCTTAACCTTCAAAGCCCAAGCCTGCTCTCCCTTCGCTCCCGGCTGACTAACCCCCGGCCCGGCTCCTCTGTCTCTAAGATCAATGCCATTTCCAAGAGCCCAGCAGCGCTCCTCAGCCCCGCGCCTTCGCTCAGGGCATCCATCTCTGAGCATCACCCCCTTCCCCATCACTTTTTGCTTCTCCAGGCCTCCCTGGGCTGCCCCGCTCCCCCAGGAAGCACCCCCTCCCCACCTTCGCCACCTCTAAGAGGCCTCCCGCCCCGGGCGGCGCCCCCCACCCCCAGCCCCACGGCTGCAAGCCAGGCCCCTCCCCAAGTGCCCCCTCAGAAAGGCGGCGGTCCCGCCCGGCGTGGCAGAGCCCACCCCGGCTGAAGCTGGCGGGCGGGGGCGGGGCGGCGGGTCGTCGCCTCCCCGGGGCCTGGCCTTCCTCGGCGGCGGCTCCCGCAGCCGCGGCTCGGGCGTGGCGAGGAGGAGCCCGCAGCCCGCCTCTCCCTCCGCAGCCGCTCGCCGCTCACCTAGACGGAGAGGCTCGGGCCTCGCTCTCACTCCGGCCGTCCGGCGATGGCTGCGCCGCCGCTGCCGTGGCGCTCTCCTCACTCGCTCTTCCACCGCCCCCGATCGGCTGCTGAAGAGCGGCCGGGCAGTGGCTCGCCCATTGGCTGCGGCCCGCACTCGCGTCAGCCGGCCCCGACCGCACCTCGCGCTCGGACTGGCTGCCGCGGCGCCTCTTTTCCACGTCTGCTCCGGATTGGCTGCCTCGCGCACCCTTCCCCGGAGGACCACTCACCCTCCTCCCCGCTCCGGCCTCCCACTCCCCAACCAGGTTTCCATCCGGGAGGGAGGGGGGCGGGAGCGGGCGCCCGTGGGCCGCGGACGGCCAATGGGGGCGCGGAGTGAGGGCCGGGAGGTGGGCGCTGAGGCGACCGGCCCGCGGGGGGACAGCTCCGCCAATGGGCGCGCGCCCCACATCCCGGGCTCAGGAGCGCCTCCCTTGGCCGCTCGCATCCCGGCGGGTCGCGCCCAGGGCCACGCCCGGCTGCCCGCGGCGCGGGAGGGACGCCGGCTGGAAAGGTGGGGAGCGTGCGGCGAGGCCGGCGCGGGGAGCCCGTCGACAGCCATTGTGGCGTGCTGCGGCACTTGGCTTACGTGGGTCCCGGGGCGCCTTTCGCTGTGGGTCTCGGGGGGCACCACGGGCCTCTCGGAGAACTCTCGGTTAGGCTCGGGTCGGTGAGAGGGCTGCTGTCATGTGAAACTCCCCCCTCCAGCACACACACGTGGTGTGCCCAGTACGTAGGTACCTGAGCCCGTGTCTGGGACAGGCACATCATCCCAGCCACCACTTCCTCCAAAATAATTCCAGTCAGAAGTGTTGGACGGTGACAAGTTAGTGTAGTGGTTTACCCCTGAAGAATGGGGGCATGTTGCTTAGGAAGGATACAGGGGAACCCTGTGGGAGTTAGCTGTACTTACAGGGCTGTGTGGATATGTAAAGATTCAGCAAACCCTACACTTAAAAAATAGTGTCCTCTACACACGTTTACAATACAACTCCATTTTTAAAATAACAGGATCGTGGGAAGTACTCCATTCCGTAGCGTTGGGCTGCATGAGATGCCTGCGGTAGGAACAGTCCTCACCAGGATTTTAACTATGACTCCAAACTGCAAACCAGAGGAAGAAAAAGGAAGGATTTATGAGAGGTAAAAATGAGCAGAAGCTGCTGGCACGGCAACACACACACACACACACACACACACACGCATACACACACGCATACACACACACACTCGTTGGTACTTTAAAGATGAGCCAAGTTGTTTCACGGTGGTTTTAGTGTGGGAATGTGGAACTTGTTTCAGTGGCTCTGCTGTTAATAGCCCAAAGGGTCCGTTGTGCTGCACCCAACTGCAAACCACAAAAACTTACCCAACGGCCTGTATTGCGACAGACGTAGGTTCTGAGCCCAGAAAACTTTGACTGGATCCCTGGTTTGATGGAGGAACTCACAGTCCGGCACTAGCCATGATCAAGAGGTCACAGAGCACAAAGCAGCACTTGGCTTCCCTTACCTTAGGTGAGATGTGACATGCTTGCCCAGAACTCAATCCCAAGGCAGAATTCTGAAACTGCCAGGGTCAGGTAAACTGTTTCTCAAAGAATATCAACTATTTTGTTCCCCGAACAAACATAAGCACCTGAAATCAAATTCTAGGTGGTAAAGTAGACAATCAGTAAAAATAGTTAAACATTATGATCTTCCTATGTAATCATTACGATGTTTAGTTCAGGTAAATGTCTTTTAAAAAATAATGTTTCTCTAAGAGCAAATTATTTCATTCTTAATAGTTTTTCTTGAGAGGCAGAGAAAGCTATCTGCTGGTTCACTCCCCAAATGCCTATAAGGACCCCAGACTGAATCTGGGAACCAGGGACTGAGTTCAGGACTTCCGTAGAGCGGCAGGAGCCAGTTACTGGAGCCATTCTGCTGCCTTCTGGGATTGTTCCTTAGCGTAAGATGGAGCAAGGAGCTGAGACAGAGTTTCAACCTAGTTCTTCCCCCTGTAGGATGCAGGCATCTTAACCGATAGGCCAAACACTTCTAGACAAGTGCCTCTTTTTTATTTTTAAAGATTTATTTTTATTATTTTTTTATTGGAAAGGCGGATATACAGAGAGGAGAGACAGAGAGGAAGATCTTCCGTCCAATGATTCACTCCCCAAGTGAGCGCAACAGCCGATACTTTGCCAATCCGAAGCCAGGAGCCTCTTCCGGGTCTCCCACGCAGGTGCAGGGTCCCAAAGCTTTGGGCCGACGGCCTCAACTGCTTTCCCGGGCCACAGGCAGGGAGCTGGAAGGGAAGTGGGGCTGCTGGGATAGAACCAGCGCCCATATGGGATCCTGGGCTTGCAAGGCGAGGACCTTAACCACTTGCGCCACCGCACCAGGCCCAAGTGCCTCTTTTTAAAAGCACTTGCCAGTGGACTAGGCACACAGACTTGGATAAAGCAATATTTTCCATAAAATACAGGGTGCATTGGAGAGAGCAGCCATTTCACTGTAATGCAGGATGAAGGGCTCCACAGACAGAGCATCTAACCAGTGTAATGGATGTAGAAGAAGCTTTTTAGAAGATCTAGAACTAGGGGCCAACAGCTCCCTGCTAGTGCGGCTGTAAAAGCAAAGCATGATGGCCCAGGTCTTTGGACCCCTGCACCTCCGTGGAAGACCCAGGTAAAAATTCTGGCTCCTAGCTTTCATCTGGTCCAGTTCCAAATGGACCTAATTTGTCCATTATAGATTTTAAAATGGCTTTACACTGGAGAGCTTACAGACATCTTATTTGATATGTCAGTGTGTGTGATGTGTGCTCCTAGCAAAGAAGACCCTCCACCCCCTTCTCCGGCCTTTCAGCAAATACACAGACCAGAAAAGGCAAAGAACTTTCAGCAGGAAGATTTTAAAATAAGATAAAAGGCTACTCTCCAACGTGGTACAAGTTCTTGGGGTAAGGCATGTCGGTATGGTTAGAATCTCCATAAATTTTAAGTGAATCCAAAGAAATGCTATCTCTACAAAAAATGAATATCAAATGCTTTTCATAAATGGCAGTAAATGATTTTGCTTCAGAGTTTAAACTAGAAAACATAGTAACACCAAAAATTCATTCAGTTTCTTTTCCCATCTCTCTTCATCAAGGGCCCTGCAAATTAGGCTGCCATCTATTAGATTCAATTGCATCACAATTTTTACTTATGAGACACTTATACATAATTTAATCAATGCTATTGGAAACAGTGTTCTAAGGTAAATTATACCAAACCAAAATGTGCTTGTTTAGAGCAACCAAAAGGTTTATAGGTTAGATTACAAAGGAAATAACACCAATAACATGTGTGCTACTTATATGTGGTGCTTATATGGCTACTCAGAATACCCTAACTTTTTCAGAAACAAAACAAGTAAGGTCAAACACTAATTTTTATGCAAATACTACCTTTTGTTCTCTGAAGAAATACTTTTCATATGGCATGTGCCATTTTCTAAACAATGTAATGTATGTTTCTTATCAAAGTCTTGTAAAACAAAATTTTGATTAGTTCTTCACTGTATCCACACAGCAGCCCTGTGCAGGTATTTATCTCTGCAACTGAATTTTACAGAAGAGAAATTGAGGCTTAATTAAACAAGTAACTTGAATTGCACAGCACTGTTAGATAACAGAAGTGGGATTCAAATCTAAGTCTATAGGATAGAAAAGCCTTGAATCTTCTACCATGCCTCATGCATCGTTATGCATAGTTATATTCCTCATGATGAGTAGCAACAGAAACATGTATAGGTCCCTCGTTGCACTCACTGAATTAGTAGTTATTTTCCTTCTTTTTTTTTTAACGTTTATTTTATTTTTATCGCAAAGTCATATATACAAGAGGAGGAGAGACAGAGAGGAAGCTCTTCAGTCCAATGACTCACTCCCTAAGTAACCACAATGGCCGGTGCTGCGCCGATCTGAGCCTGGATCTCACCACTTCTTCCAGGTCTCCCACATGGGTGCAGGGTCCCAAGGCTTTGGGCCATTCTCATCTGCCTTCCCAGGCCACAAGCAGGGAGCTGGATGGGAAGTGGAACTGCTGGGATTAGAACCGGTGCCCATATGGGATCCTGGCACTTTCAAGGCAAAGACTTTAGCCGCTAAGCTATCCTGCCCGGGGCCCAGTAGTTATCTTCATCATGCCTTATCTTTATAAATTTATGACAATGGAAAATATAAGATATTGAAAACTAATTATTCACATTAAATTTTTTGACATAATTAGAAGGAATGCAGCTCTGTAGCTACAATGGAAAACCTGTTACAGCTATTTACAGCACATCAGAGATGTTCACTCTTGGGATAGGTGGTGTGGCACAGTAGGTTAAGCCACCGTTTGTCATGCTTGCATGCCTTATTAGAGTGCTTGGTTTAAGGCCCAGCTACTCTTGCTGAAACACCTGGAGGCAGCAAATAATGGCTCAACTAGATTCCTGCCCCAAGTGAGAGACCCAGTGAAAGATCCACATGGAGCTCCTGACTTCAGCCTGATCCAGTACCAGGTTTTGTGGACATTTGAAGAGTGAGCAAACATATGGAAACAGCTGTGTATGTCTGTGTGCGTGGGCATATGCTTGTGTATGTGTCTTTCTGGCTTGCAAATAAATAGAACTGTTAAAAATAGTGAGGACAATTCATTTTCATAGCATAGTGTCTTTTTTTTTCCATTATTGAATTGGCAGATTTGTGGAGAGAAGGAAACAGGGAGGGAGAAAGGTATTCCATCCATGGGTTCCCTCCACAGATGGCTGCAATGGCCAGAACTGAGCTGATCTGAAGCCCAGAGTATTTTCCAGGTCTCTGGTGCAGGTACAGGATCCCAAGGTTTTGGGCTGTTCTCCACTATTTTCCCAGCCATAAGCAGGAAGTTGAGCAGCTAGGATATGTACTCGCACAATATGGGATACTGGTACTTACAGGTTGAAGGTTAGCCAGATGAACTATCAGGCCAGTCCTGTAGCATGGGTCTTACACAACTTCCCTCAAGTTCCTCTCGATCTCTAACTTTCCCTGCAACCAACCGTGACATCCAGGTTAG